TTGTGCATGACATTGCATTCAGGTTCCAGATATGAACTGTGTCTGTGATGTAATTCAAGAAGAAACTACTTTTCCTTTTCTTTTCTTTTTTAACATTTATTTATTTTTGAAAGAGAGGGAGACAGAGTGTGAGCAGGGAAGGGGCTGAGAGAGAGGGAGACACAGAATCCGAAGCAGGCTCCAGGCTCTCAGCTGTCAGCACTGCCCGACAAGGGGCTCAAACCCACGAACTGTGAGATCATCACCTGAGCCGAAGTCAGTCGCTTAACCAACTGAGTCATCCAGGCGCCCCTCTTTTTTTCTGTTTTTATAAATCTTTGACTTTGGTGTTCTTCTTCCTCGTGGAGCTTACTGACATAGCACCAGTGCACTTATCAACTCTTTAGTTTCAATCATATTTATTTCTGTCTATCTGTTCTGTATATTTATGAAGTAATTGATATAGCTGGAGAAAATGTTACACAAGTGACATAAATAAGAGAACTCAAACTTTCATTTGTGCTTACCCTCATTACTGTTGTGTAGATGTAGTTGAAGAGGCATAATTATAATTAACACCAATAGAGCAGAGTCATTATGCTCACATTGCAATCAGGATTAAGGCAGTTAAACTGGAAAAATATGTAAACAAAGAGCATTGAGATCATTGATAAGATATTTAGAAGTGTTGTTATACAGGGATAATATCATAAATATCATATATATAAGGCAACTTTTATTTTGTAAGCAGTTGAACAGCTGTGGCGTTTACTCTGTAAGAATACAGTATATGTTTCTGTTTTGTTAGCCTTAACACCAAGTGCGTGATATTTAATAAGTAATACATAATTCATAAATAGATACTAGTAGAATTAATCCTAAAATCGTCCATTTTGATGCATTTCACCCATGAAGTATTTGCACTTTGTGTATCGTATAAAATATTTAAACCTCTACTTGTTTACTAAGTAACCTGAATATGCAGGTACTTTAAATTAAAATTTAGAAGGATCTGTTATATATCTGTTGCAAGGACAGAGTAAGTTTTATGTGCAGGGAAATATCCATTATCCTATTTCTTTTGAATCACTGAAGAAGTACAAATGTTTTGGCTTCTTTTTCGGTAGTGTCTATCTTGTTTTCTTCCTTGTTAAAATAGTAATTTTGAAAAGCAGTTATCTACTCAAAGTAGTGATTGAAAACCAATTCTAATTAACCTTATTTTTACTCAGTATGGCTTATGATATGAAGCAATTTTATTTTTCTTAATTGACTTTTGAAAAGCAGCTTCTTTCTTTGTTGTGTGTTCTCACTTCTTTTCTTCTTCTAAGTCATTCTTTTTCTTCTCTTCCAAAATGATTCGTGGGTCAGGAGCAGTTCTTTCTGTGCTGCTCAAGCAGGTGAGGAGAGGTTGGCTTTCTGACACCTTTGGTTCTTTTCCCTACAGTTATTCACTAGTTCTGTGTTGTTATTTATTCTTTTATTGATACCGACTCTACACCTGGAGAGTTGGGGATATTTATTTATGTGTCCCTTTGACTGAAGAAAAAGCCTTAGGCATCTGGAAATGTTCTCATATTTATAGAGAACTCTGATTTTGAAAGGAGTAGGGGCACCTGGGTGGCTCACTTGGTTAAGCATCTGACTCTTGATTTTGGTGCAGGCCATGATCTCACAATGTGAGATTGAGTCCTGCATCAGCATCGAGACCCCTCATTGGGTTCTGCTCTGGGTATGGAGCCTGCTTAAGATTCTCCCCCTCTTCCTCTCCCTCTGCCCTCCCCTGCATATGTTACTTCTCACACTTCTTGTTTCACTGAATATTTTTCCATAGAATTTATTAGTCGCTAATATTTTATGATTTAATTATTTATCCTGTTTGTTATCCCTTTGCTCTCTACCCACCAGTAACGTGTAAGGTCCAGGAGGGTAAGGCTCTTTGTCATTTTGCTGACGGATGCATACCGTATAGTTACGGGTTCATTTTTGGCTCCTCTCTTCTGTTCCATTGATTTATGTGTCTGTTTTCGTACAGTACTATACTGTATACAAGCTTTGTAATACAGCTTGAAGTCTGGAATTGTGATGCCTCCAGCTTTGTTTCTCTTTTTCAGGATTGCTTTGGCTATTCGGGGTCTTCTCTGGTTCCATACAAATTTTAGAATTCTTTGTTCTAGCTCTGTGAAGAATGCTGGTGTTGTTTTGATAGGGATTACATTGAATGCGTAGATTACTTGGGGTAGCATAGACATTTTAACATAACTTGTTCTTCCAGTCCATGAGCATGGAATATTTTTCCATTTCTTTGTGTCTTCTTCAATTTCTTTCATAAGTGTTCTATAGTTTTCGGAATACAGATCTTTTACCTCTTTGGTTAGGTTTATTTCTAGGTGTCTTTTCGTTTTTAGTGCAATTATAAATGGTACCGATTCTTTGCAAGACATGCAAATTGCTAAGAGACACATGGAAAAATGTTCAACATCACTCATCATCAGAGAAATACAAGTCAGAACCACAATGAGACCACCTCAGACCTGTCAGAATGGCTAAAATTAACAACACGGGAAACAACAGATGTTGGTGAAGATGCATTAGAGGGGAACCCCCTTACGCTGTTGGTAGAAATCCAAGCTGGTGCAGCCACTCTGGAGAACAGTGTGGAGGTTCCTCAGAAACTTAAAAATAGAACTACCCTGCGACTCAGCAATTACATTACTAGGTATTTATCCAAAAGATACAAAAATACTGATTTGAAGAGGCACACCCGCCCCAATGTTTATAGCAGCACTACTAACAATAGGTAAATTATGAAAAGAACCCAAATGTCCGTCAACTGTGAATGGCTAAAGATGTGGTATACACACACACACATATATATATGTATATATACACACACACTTGTGTATATATATACGTGTATATATATGTAGGTATATATATGTGTATATATATATTGGTATACACACACACACACACACACACACTGGAATATTACTCAGCCATACAAAAGAATACAGTCTTGCCATTTGCAATGATGTGGTTGGAACTAGAGTATACTATACTAAGCAAAATAAGTCAGAGAAAGACAAATACCATATGATTTCCCTCATATGTGAAATGTAAGAAACAAAACAGATGAACATTAGGGAAGGGAAGGAAAAATAAAATAAGGTAAAAACAGAGAGGGAGGCAAACCATAAAAGACTCTTAACTGTACAGAACCAACTGAAAGTTGCTGGAGGGAGGTGTATGGAGGAGGCCTAAATGGGTGATGGGTATTAAGGAAGGCACTTGTTGGGATGAGATCTGGGTGTTACATATATAAGTGATGATTCACTGGGTTCTTCTCCTGAAACCAGTACCTCAGTATATGTTAACTAACTTAAAGTTAAATAAAATCTTGGAAAGAAAAAAAAAAAAAAGATTGCATAGCAAGCAGTGAGAAGAGTGCCTAAAATAGAATAACCACTGAATATTTGTTGGAGGAGTGAATGAATCCTGATTTGTGAATGGCAAAAGGAAAGCAGCAATGTGGTGATTAGTTCTGACCTAATCTGTGTTTCAAAGTCTGTTTTTTCTATTTGTTCTTATGCTTTCTTATTTGAAGTCTGTCATTTTTAATGTATTGACAAATCAACAAGTGATGAAATAGATTCTTCAACCAACTTTACCAGCAGTTTCATCCATTCAGGTTGTGATTCCATGGAATGAATGTATCTCCTGACATGCATCGTGTAACAGAATTCCAATAAGTAGTGAACTGTATGTTGAAAAATAGTTGACAAATGTGATACTTTGCATGGTTTATTAATTATGGACGTCTGTGCTTTCTAGCTTTAAATATCTAATCAGTAGTTGACTTACTAAGACTTTAGGGCTAATACCCATTTTCTATGAAAAGAATAAGGATTTTATTTAGAAATTGTCTTATAATTTGAAAGCCAATTTGTAAATTTTGGTTTGTTGTTTTTAGAAGTTTGGGGGCCAAAACATAGGTCCATGAACATGCAATTCTTCATAAAGCTTTATAGGCCAAAGGTCTGAACTTTTATTTGCATTTAGTTGTTTGAAGAAAGAGATTGAGTTCCTGTAGATTATAGGGGTTAAGAGGAGTGTGTAGGGGTAAAAAGGCTCACCCGAACAGCCATGTTACCTTGAAAAAGGGCTAGCCAGTGCTGATTCTACATACACTAGTAATATACTAGTGTATTGTTCAACTATATAGCAGTCTTTCTATAGCTGTACTAATTATGGGTAAGAATTTCATGGACAAGAAAGAATGTAATTTTATATTATCAGATTTTTCTTTAAAAAGAGATTTATGAACTTAAACAGTGCAATATTGATCAACAGAATTTGAATCAAGCTTCTCTGTGAATAAAATAACAGTTTTGTTGATAAACTACCAGTGATTTTATGTTTCAGCACAAATTATACATTGCTTATACCATATTTGGCCCAGATTTTTAATAACCGTCTGTATTTTCTTTTGCTTTGTACTACTTGTATTTTTATTTTCTTTTATGAAGCAGTTAGCATTTGTTGATTCTGATGCACTCTTCCATAGATTTTTTTTTTTACCTCTTCCTGTGTACCAGAAAACTATGCCCTTTATTCATGGGTGTTGTTGTTGTGATATTGTCATGCACACTCACAAGAAAAGCTCTGTAAGTAATTTGTTATGTGACTATGTCAGCACTGTGGCACTGAGCATATATAATAGTCTTTGTATAGAAATTATTTTATCTACTAATTAGATATATCTTCACAGGGTCGCCCAGATGGCTCAGTCAGTTAAGCATCTGGCTCTTGCTTCCAGCTTTTGCTGACAGCAAGGAGCCTGCTTGGGATTCTGTTTCTCCCTCTCTCTGCCCCTTTCCCCACTCATGCACACACACACACACACACACACACACACACACACTCTCTCTCTCTCTCTCTCTCTCTCTCTCTCAAGATAAATAAATAAACATTTAAAAAGTTCAAAATATGTATATCTTCGCATATTTTTGTTATTGCAGATTGAAAGACATGACAACTGTGCCTATGACTACCTAGAAGTTCGAGACGGAAACAGTGAAAATAGCCCTTTGATAGGGCGTTTCTGTGGTTATGATAAACCTGAAGATATCAGATCTACCTCCAACACCTTGTGGATGAAATTCGTTTCTGACGGAACTGTGAACAAGGCTGGGTTTGCTGCCAATTTTTTTAAAGGTAATTCGAAGTGATTTAAAGTGTGATATTTCCTTTGTGAGGAATAAATGTGATCTTTAACTTCGAGTTAAGAGAGGAAAGTTATACTGAATGCACTGTTGGGAAAGATATTTGGATGACTTCTGATAGTAGAAGGTTACCGGTATAATACTGGAATTAGGAACTTTCTAGAACAGGCTGGGAGCCTCATTAGGATATTCTGTCATCTGCTTTTTATGAAACAGTCAAGATGGCAAAATCCAGAAAGGGAATGCAGACAGGGAGAAAACATTTGCAATATAATAAACATGGGATTCATGATCAGAAGAAAGTTTACTGATACATCATTCATCAATTGATTTCCAAGTGACAGCATTTCTAAACCATCCTATAGATAATAGCATTCCACCACGCTGAAAATAATGTATGGCCTTCTTTGTAGGATATTCTGATACCGAAAATGCCTTTTTGACAAAGAATTATTATTGATCAGCTTTAATATTTACTCACATAACCAAATTTTAGTGTATTTTCATATCTCATATTTGGGGTGTATTACTTAGGTAAAAAGAAAGTCATTTTAGTGCACATAGTGTCAAATTTGCATTTGGAAAATTCATAGGCACTTAACATTAAGTGTGTCATTGTAAAAACTATTTTATGGGGAGAGAAACAAAACTTTCTCTACACTGATTTTTATATAATAAATGATGGATTTAGTTGTGTATGTCAAAATTTAGTATGATTAATAACCAAACATTTTAACATTTGATTTTTTAAAGAACATTATAATGGATTTTCCCTGAACATTACTTCGATATTCACCATATGATTTGAAAGGCAGAAAACCTTGGCGCTTTCACTAGATGTATTAAAAGTGGTTATTAAAATGTACGTTCACATGCCTTAGTTCTTCTCTATATGCAGGATTTTACAGTAGAAGAAAAATTCTATCAAGATTCTCTCCTGTGATGTTTATATATTTGGTTACCAAAAATGCTTGGACTTTGGCCAACACAGAGTTTCTGCTGAGAATACTGTTTGCTATTTTCTTAACTCACACTAGGTTATTTCTGAAGGTTGAGATTATGGAATATCCTATCATCTATGCTGTTTTAAATAGTGTATATTTTTATATGTATTTATTTCATATATATGTATTTATATTTCCATGTATAATTAAAACAGCATATGTATTTACAAAATATGGAATTTTAATATTTCCTGGATCAGTATGTCTATATAGAAAATGCTGAAAGCTTTACATTTAATGAGGTCCAGTAGTTTCTTTAATTTTTTTTAATGTTTATTTATTTTTGAGAG